CAAAAAAATATACGTATTTTGGAAATGTTGAGTCGAATTAGTCTAGAATCGATTAATTTTATGAAAGAAAACCTTTCAAACAGCCGTAGTCCGTAAACTATGATTCCTACAAAATTGATTCATAAAGAACGGAACGTATCTACCGTCTTAGAGGGGGATCTACTGTATACAAGTAAAGGAACATATTGCAGATCTCAAATATAATCAACTAAACTCTGTTTTTCATGACCATTGTTTAATAAATGACTGTAATATAGATAAAAATAATGTTAAAATCCTATACAAAGAGAAAAATATGCATAATAGAAAATTTAAAAAAAGCGTCTCAATTTTAACAGCCAAAAATTGTATCAATAAAAATTTAAGTGTAAAAATAAATGTGAACTGGATGAAAATATTATAATACACACAATATACATTAATGTTGATTGTAATTATCTATAAAGGTTATGCTGTTGTTAATATTAATAATATCTTTCTTTGTAATATGCAAATCAGTACAAAACTGCAATACAGTACGTAATGCGGATACAGTTAAAAAACAATAATGTAAAAAATTGTCTATTTCTCTTTCAAGATATATATGTGATTATGTATAAGATTCCTGGATATTGTGAAATAAGTAAAAGATCATTTATAACAGATTTTAATGAAATTACTCCACTTATTGTAAAATAAGTTGTGTGTGCCTATTGGGTTAAGACCTTATATGTATAACAGATTAAAAATGGATATGGTAAGAAATATACATTATTTTAATTCTGTTTTGTTAGATATTTATGTAATATTTTTAAAAATTGTATCTTTTAGTTGACTGATGAGGGGCTTTATGCCCAAAACGTGCAGTTGTCACGTATCAACTAAAAAGTGATGGAAATAAAACCAAGTGTTTATTTATAACTCAATTTTGGACTTCAAACTCAAATGTATTATTATTCAAGATCATACATGAATATTCATATCTTTCCTAATATTTTCTTAAAATATTTTACACATATTTAAACAATACACAGAATATTATTGTTATCTAATGCATGGAAAATGCTTTAAAAAAGTCTAATTTATTTTACTCAAAAATAATAGAAGTAATTAAATTTAATTGTTATTTCGATCTTATGTTCCCTTTTTGCTTATATTATTCATTAATATTTTAATACCCCTTAACACCCAATGACGAGATAACTCGTCAAGATTACATAGCGTTACGTAAAATTCGGTAGTTAAGGCCACTTTTGACAAAAAATTTTTTTTCAATTTTTGGAATGTTTTTTAAGTCCCCAAATTTTTTCAAAATTTTTTGCCCGCACGAAAAAATTTTACTTTGATAAGGCTCGATTAAGGCTTAATTGTTTTTTAATGGGAGTTTTTTTTATCAATTTATTTCATGGTTCCTAAGTTGTAGCACACGGATTTTCCTTCGAAAAAGTTATTTAAAGCTGCTTTCTGATGTCAAAAACGACCTCCAATAGTTTTTAATTTTTTTAATTAATCGATTTTTTTATATATTAATTTAATTAATTAGGGGGGTCGGAAATCACAATTAAAATCTTAATTTTTTAAAAATATTTGAAAATATACATGTCGCTCATAGTCACCCACTTTAAACCCTTGTCCTCCCGAGACGTATGAGAATGCCCTGGGAAATTGGACTCCAGCTGTGTAAACAATGACTCATCGGTGTTAAATTTCACAGAAAGGCGAGACAAAGGAAAATAAAATTTGAAGCTTTTTCTTCAAAATTAACGCATTTCTTTTGTTTTTTTTCAGTTTTAAGTATTTTTATGTATTTTTTATGCTTGATTACATCATAATTAAAAACAGTCGGGCGTTAAGGGGTAAATTGTAGAATACAGGTAACTTCCATATAACACGGCACTTCTATAGCACAGATTCACTCTAACACGGTTGAGAATTGGGAACATCTCCATATAACACGGTGCTTTTATAGCACAGATTCATTCTAACATGGTTCAAGAATTGGGTAAAACCCTCGTACAACATAAAATGTGATAAATTTTCACAAACTTAAGTACTAATAGTTTACAAAAATTATTATTTTCGTGAACTATTAATACTTAAGTATGTAAATTTTCTTTTCCGCCTTCTGTCGATACACATAATCCTTCTCGAAACTTGTTTCAGTGTTGCCAGATCTCGACGCTTCTGATTTTGTGTGTTTTTGTGCCAGACGTTTTCCCTTATTCATACTTGCTTTATTCTTCATAAGTGCTTAGCACCATATAAGGAAATTTATAAAGCTCTTTTAACTAAAAGCAAGCAATCTAAGATAACATATTTTTTGCAAAAGGTAGAGCATGGATTTGAAGATAATGCAGAAAAATGCTCAGAGGATAAGGATATCTTGCCAAAAAGAAAAAACCCTCAATTAATAGTGCTTAGTGATGACGAAGAAAACATTCTTTAATTTATATTAATATGTATCACTTCTTAAGAAAATTTTAATAAAGATATTTATCTTACTTATGAAAATATAATAGCATGTTTTCTAATTTTTGGAACCTAACCCCCCTTTTCGTACTAGTTCTTTGTTTCGTATAACACGCAAAAAATTTGCATAACATAGCAAATTTTTTGGAACATTACTCCCGTGTTATATGGGGTTACCTGTATATCTATTTTTAAAATTGTAATTCTAGAATATAATTTAAAACTTTCTGATTCTGATTTGAAGATGACTAATTAAAGAAAACTTTAAAACATTTTTTTAGTAAATCTGCTGATTTTAAATGTTTATTTTTCACTCTTGAATTATAATCAATTATTTTGCTTATGACTATTGCAGATATATAGTCACTAATTAGTTGAAGTATTTGTACCAAGTTTAATTTTTCAAAGATTTACTCTTCACAAATTGAAAAGTATCTTCCATTTTTATCAGTAATACATATCATACTTCTCTAGCTCTATTATCATAGTAAGTGAATAAGTGAATCTCAAGAAAAAATAATTAATACCACAAAACTTAATTTCAAGAAGTCATTAAAACAATAAAATTAAGCTTTATATAACAAAAAATAATTCTTCTTAAGCAAGCAGAATTATTTTTGTAGATGAATATGTAAGTATCTTACCAAATACATAAAATACTGATGGCCAACCTCCTAGGAAAGTTGAAGCACACATAACTCCAGATAATGGCAATGCAACAACTGTACCTATCTGACATCCACTATACACTAATGATGATGCTAAACTTCTCTCAGTTCTCGGCATCCATCTAGCTAATAAGGAATGCATTGCTGGAAATGTTATACCCTATAAAAACATTTTATCATAAATAAGCTTATTTAAATAAATGTTATATATTTATGAAGTTTTAACATATTAAAAAGAATGTAATACTTCTTAAAAATAACAATTAATTAATTTTTATCTCTAAATGAATCATTTTGTAACTTATTATTTAAGCATTTTACTTATTGCAATGTTTTCATTAAAACAAAATTTGGAACATACTGACTTCATTCTTATAATAGATTTTTCAAATATTATTTAAGTTTTCCAGTTCATAGTAAATCAAAAATTAAAGTAATTAATTATAACAAGCTAAACAAATAAATAAACATTAAAATTTAATATAAATTTAAGATATTAAAAAAATAAACTTTGTTATTGAATATTTGAATTTTAAACATATTTTTAATTAATGATTTCAACTCATTTTCTTTTCTTTTCTGTTATTTTGTGAATGAAATTTAATCTCCATGATCTTAGTAAAATTTCTATAAGCTCCTTAATTAGTCCAGTTTCTCTACTTCCAAACTTTTCATACTTTGATTGTTAAGTTTAAATTTACTGTTCCAGGAAAATTTTATACCTAAATATTGAATATCATTTACTAGCTCCACAAGTTCATTATTAATGAAAAAACTCTCTCTCTTTGATAAAATAACATTATTACAGAAAATAATAATGCTTGTTTTTAAATGAACTTGATGCACTTTATACCAATAAACACATAACATAATAAAAAATAAAACTGTCTTTTAACTGTTTTGCTTTTCAAGCTTGAAAAAGTTTACATTGAATCACTGAAATTAATCCAAAAATTTAAAAATTAATAATTAATTATTTGAATTTCTTATATTTTATTAAATTATATTTATAGTATAAGAAAGCCCCTGTAAAAATATTTTAAATTCATCACTAAAGAATGTGTAAAGTTAACTAACAATAATACTTACTTCACCTAAACCTTCTAAAAATCTTACAATTATTAAAGCTGATACATGCAGATTTGCAGCTACAGGTGTCAATAAAGTAAGAACACCAGTTCCAAACACACCTAAACCAAACAACCATTTTCCTCCAAAAATTTCAGCAAGTCTTCCTCCAGGCAATTGAGTTAAAATATATCCATAGAAAAATGATCCTAATATAAAACCTTGTAGAGTTTTATCCCATAAAAATTCTCCATCCTAAATTGAAATATAACAGTGAAACATGAGTATTTATTAAATTGAAAAAATATATTTGGCTTTATAAATATTAAACAATCTGAATTTTATTATTTGTTGTTTAAAAAAAAAAACATTATGCTTAATTTTTTCATTTTTAATCTGTTACTTCAGGAAGTCAAACTAGAAGAGATCAATTGGAAACATTTTTGACTCTAGTGAGCCAAATAATTTGTTGCAAAACTTCTAAAATACATTATGGAATATATTTAAGTAAAAAAAAAAACCTGTCTGTAAAATGTTGCTAGTTTTTAAATTTTTTAAATGTACAGTTTGTGGAATTTGAATATTAAAATCAAGAACTGTCTATAGATCATTATGGGTTTATATATGCACGTACAGCAAAACCTGTGTATACTGGACTGCACAGTACTGAATATTTATTCTGGTTTGTCAGGTTTCCATTTTGAACAGGTTTCTTTTAACATAGAAAATTGATGCATTCTGAAGAATTTTTCCCATTTAGGCAGGTTTCAATTTTATTAAAGTTCCATTTTGAACAGATTTTACTGTGTATAAAGTTTTTGAATGAACTAGAACTTTTCTCAAGTAGTCAATTAAAAAGAACAAAGATATTAACCATGGTACCAAGTTTTACACATTGTAATGCTTGATTTTGTTATTAAATAACAAAATGATTTTTTTACAAGTCTAGTTTTTCTTCAATTTTTATTAATATTTATTATAATTTATTAGAAAATTTTTATAAACATTAAAATAAACTGATATACTAAAATGCATTCACAATATAAAATATCAATTTATGATTTGTTGCTTTTTAAAACAGATTTTAAATAAAATCTTATTATTTGGTAATATAGGTTGAATCTTTTTAATTCAGCACTCTGTGGTCAGGCATATTTTAAATATGCTACCACTAGTATGTAGATCTGTTATATCTGTTTATTTGATTCAAAGAAAATTAAGGAAAACCAAAATACCAAAAGCAAGCTACATTGCAACATTGATTGAAAAACATTAAATAACCCTGCCAAGACCTCATTTCAACATAGAAAAATCCACTTTCCTATATCTGATTTGTTTCTGAGATACTGGTAAATGTACTTGAAGATTATAGAAATCCTGATGGCCCTGCATATTTTGAAGGCATTGCTGACCCTGAAGACCATGCTGATTTATGATGTAGTACTTTAACTCAGATTACAAGTATTATATAAAAACATCCCAGAAGCTGGAACCTTTATATACTAACTAGCTTATTCTTACCACACAACTTCCATGAATACTAAATGTGGTGGAAATTGGTAAATATAGTACTTGTATACTAACTAGTTTATGTTTGGTTTTGGATTTATATTTATATATGAGATAATAAAAACCTTGTTTGAAAATATAATGGTTGTATTATTTCATTTTTTCGGCTTGGTTCTACCTTTCATAACACTGTGATATGCATATCATTATGTAAGTGATTTCCTTAGAGGTCTTAAAGGTCAATTTCTGTCGTCCAACAATGACTGTGTCTCAAGGTTGCCAGATTCAAGAGGTTCAACCTATACTACATTTTAAACTGTTTTGAAAATAAAGGAAAGCATTTCATATTTATATATGCATACTTGTTAAATAAATTTTAAAATCAACATCTTCAACTAGTGTTTTTTAAACAAATAAAATATTTTCTTCTAATCAGAATGATTTACTATTGGATTGGATTTTCATTTACTTTTTGTTCATTTTAAAATATTCAAGATATAAAATAAAATTCTTATTGGCTAATATAAGTTTCTTTTGAACAGTCATTAAAATTTTTAAATAATATGATGATAAGACCTATACTCTATGCAGGATAAAGAACAATGTTGGTTTATAGAATCAAGAAAGAGTATGCATATACAGTAAAATATAGTATCAAACAATGATGCAAATTATCATTACATTTTTTATATAGTGTTTGTCATAAACATTACTTTGTCCATTGTCTGTCATTTCTATTTTGTTTTTTTTATGACAGAAAAAGTGCCATGATGATTTTAAGCTAAGTATTTTGTGTATATATAAAGTAGATTATAATATTCTTGTTTTAATTAATCAAAAGACATTGACTAGAAATGCCAAATTTAAATACATGTATTTGATTTTGAGAATTCTGTTTGAATGTTCAATGTTAATTATAATCTGTTTCCTTTTTATTTGGGTGTTATAAAAGGGACACCATCAACTGGCAATGGCAAGTGAGTGATGGACAACTGGGCTACTGCTAACTGGGTGCCAAACACACAAACAAAATAAGAAATGAATGTAAAATTATATATTTAACTTAATTAAAAATTTGTTTATGCCTCAAGAAAAACATGTGTTTCTTGAATTGATTAAAATATTGAAGATAGGATTCTTGATAGTGCAAACATAATAAATACTTGGGTAGATACTTCATTGTTATTTTAAAACTAATTGTAAAGGGCAGACTATTAGAAGTCAAATGAAGAAAGTTGTCTTAAGGAAGCTAATCCAACCCTAAGCATAGAAACTATTGAAGAAACCAAATGGCTGACCACAGATTGTCTTTTGCATCTTTGCAGCAAAGAAGTAATGACATGCAGCAGATGGAAATCTTCAGAGTGAGAGAAAAGGGCTCAGAAATTTGGAGTGAAAAGACAATGCCAAGAGTAACAGTTTTATTTGAACTTCAGTACGAAGTATTGTATATAAGTATTTTTTTAGAAACAAAATAGTTGAACAATGTAAATAGTGACCCTGGTTTTGTCAATAATTTCTGAAACACATTATGTAAAGTTTTGAAAGAATTTCCATTGTTTACAATCATTGCAAGAAAGATTCTGCATCATGCAATAAACATGCTTAATTTTCATTTTAACCAATTCATTATTCTTAATTTTACACCATTTACATTGTTTACTCTATTCTAATGTGCACTGTTTTTTGCACTTATCTAGTCTGAAATTTTGGGGTGTGCATTAGAATCAGGTACAAGGTTGAGTTAATGCAGTCTTGTTTATATTATTTGCTCTTCATTCTGCTTGGCAATTTCCATGTATTAAACATCATTATAGACATGTTATAAATCCCTCTGACTACTTTAGTTTTAATTTTGGTTTTGGTTTTGGAATAGTTTGATGGTCTCTTAATTACAGAAAGCTGAATAAATGAAGCCAAACAGATAAATAGCCTGTAAAGCTGTGTTTAAGCAGAGAGTTATCTACTATGCTGAAGAATATGTATACAGATATTTCAGTGTGATAATACTTTTTTGGTAAATGTCATGTTTGTGCATAGATTTTAACAGCAATTTGTGAAATCTTGCTGTTAAAATGTTAATCCTATGATAATTTTGACTGTAATTTTATATCAATCCAGAGATCCTCTGTACCTGATAATGGAATCATTAATAAATACACTTGGATACATTCAATCATGTGGATATCATAAATCACTGTAAACATGAAAATAAAATTATTTTAAAAAAATACATTTATTATTGTTTAAATACATTAACTTTTTGTATCTACATTGTTGACATAGGATGTGTATTACATTTGCAAGCTAACTGTTTTTGGTTTTCATATGTTGAAAATTACATGCACATTAAATTTGATGGCACATTAGAATCAAGAAAACACAATATATAATCAAAAGTCTAAATACTGATATTCTGGACCAATTGGGTAGTTAAATTAATTAAATTAAGAATTAATATGCAGTTAATTCAGAAAGAAACAGAAAACCCACTTTCTTTTCCCACTGCCTGGGATTTCCGTTGACCTCCAATCTGATAGATAAAGACAATCAAATAACCGTACAAATCGACAGTTTTAATGATGTTTGAACTAATTTCAAAACCTTAGTTGAAACATTTGATTATTAATGATAGGAGCCTGTCAAAACAAATGAACTTATGAGGTAAGACGAGTCATAACCCAGCTAGAAAAATCAATAAATCAGCCGAATCATCTGGTTTTTGACAGCTAGTATCAGACGAACCAGGACATGACTCAAACTTAGACCATATTAAATCAAAGTCACCTGAGTCAATTCTCATGTGCAACACATATAAAAAGGGCTCGCACCCAATCATCAGAGCAATCACCAAAGAAGACCGACTTCCTGCTGGACCTCACTTTCATCATCTCCACGAAAGATCAACCAACTGTCCCGAAGGTATTGCCATCCGACTGAGGTATTCTATTTGCTAATTTTATGTAAACTCTCTCTCAGTCGACTTAGAATCTAACCTATTAAGTTAGATTTAGTCATTAAAAAATTAGCTACCTGCTGGACTATCCAATTTGGCTCCAGGTTAAACAGAACCAACATTAATGTTACGGAACATTATTATGTTTCTTGTCTGCTGTAATCTTTATTTTGTTTATATTAAATATGTTAAGTTTATTTAAATGCTTGTAGTAACTCGTTTATCGCCGTCCCTGTATCGACAACCTCACTGATCCCCCACTTGCCTAAATTTACACCATCCACTGACACGTCCCAACATCGGAGAACAGGTTAAGCCTCATGCATTTACTCCCAACTTCTCACAATATGTTAATATTTAAATCAATAATGAATAAATATATAAAATTACTTGTCCTGACTGACTGAGTTACTGATTCATCATCGCCCAGAGCAAACCGCTAAACCTAAAAAAGGTGAAATTTGGTACACATCTAGGGTACGTCATGGAAACGCACACTAAGAAGGGATTTTTCGAAATTCCCCCGTGGGGGGAGCATTAAGGCTTAACTGGAAAAATGGCTTCTACTGTACTATTTTAGATGCGATTTTTTGTTTTTATCTGTGGTTTTATAGGGTATGCCAGGAGAATGTACACTAAGAAGGGATTTTTCGAAATTTCCCCGTGGGGGAGGAGGATAGCATTAAGGCTTAACCGGAAGAATGGCTTCTACTGTGCTATTTTAGATGCGATTTTTTGTTTTCAACTACATTTAGTCTTCATTGAGTACTTACGTGTATTAAATTGATAACATTTCAGACATTGTTACAAATATTTTCATATATTTCAATTTTTTAACCAAATGTTTTAACCGTTTTAAATTTGAATTTGTTATTGCATATTGGTTCGATTATAGAATGATTTTATACATTCCAGAAAATTGATCAAATTGAAAACAGTTCATTTGATTCTCAGCAATTATCATCATTCTCAGCGGTAGGTTTTATATAACAATTACTATGGTTGTTGAAATACTGAATATAAATGGGGTTTGCTTGCAAAATCTCCGTGGGCGAAGTCATGGGTAACAGCTAGTGAATGAATAAAATCTGATATAATATTTTTTGTTTTTTCATATTTTGTTACTTCTATACTGAACATAAAATAATTATTCTTCATTCTCTCTCCATGGTTGATAAAGCATGTCTCACTGACTTCTTTAGAATGTTTAAAAAAAAAAAAAAAAACAATTTATTGAGTGTCGATTAACTATGACATTTCAACAAAATTTCACTTTTATTGAAGTAATACTTATATATTTAAATAATTTAATTCCATTACAATACTAAAAATTGTCAATATATTGACAATTTTTAGCAATTGTATATCTATATTATTACTTATTACTTAAATATAATCAATTATATGATTATGTAACATGTGATCATTACAATGTCACTTTTATTGTAATAGGAAATAACTTTACAATTACACATATATTGAAATTATTTGTAGTTGATTGTTCTGTGTTATACTTTTTAATGTCTATTCAGATGTTTATTTAAATATTAAAAATTTCCAATATCTTAGTACAAAATAGAAATATGTATCTGGTAAAAAGTGAATAGATTTTTCAGTCAATATAATTAATCATATCATTATTAAATAATTTTAATGAATAATTAAAGCATTTCAAATACAAGTGTAATTATAAAATTACATTCCAAATTGTTTTTGTTTGAAGATCATTGAATTGAATAATTAGAATAAAAAAATTTTGAAAGCAGTTATTGCCAAATATATGAATTCATAAAAACTTCTATAACTTTAATTTATCTCAAAAATTTAAAAATTTTTTAAAAACATTATTCAAAATCAAATTATTACAAACCTGTAATTCATTTGTGCTAGTTGTATTTTGCAATGGACATTCATCTGAGACTGACGTATTCTTCTTTGTAGCAGTATTATTTACCATAGATACTAAAGCAACACTTAAATTAACTCTAAGTGCATAAACATTACAAAAGCCTAAAAATCCCATAAATATCAATACATAGCGTGCAGGAATGAAGGATGGCCATCCTGAAATAATTAAGAATTTGTAAATTAATAAAAAATATTTATAATTATCTCTACTTTAAAATATAATATGGTCTTATTAGAACAAAATAATATTCTCAATAAAATCATAATTTATATGAACTTTATATGAATTATTATTTAATTTCTTAGAATAATAAATTAAAAGTAATCTAAACATTCTCAAAACTAGAAAACAAAATATCCATTAAAGAAATGATAAAATTTTATAATATATAATTAAAATGATTAAAAATTCAAAATATATATCTTCTCATCTTAAACAGTACTTGTTACTAAGATAAATAATTTAAATAATATTAATTTAAATTAAACAATAATTAGTTTAAAGTATTTAATGTAAAGTTAACTATTAAATTCACTTTTTATAACTGATTCCACTTACTTAACTTCATGTTAACAATAAAATGATGATATTTAAATGAACTGAAACATTTTATAACAGCCATATCCTTGAAATATTCATAAACAATACATTTATACTTATAAGCCTAATTACAGAACTACAGACAGTGTGCAAAAAAATTATTTAACAATATTGCATGTTGTATAAAACAGAATTTTAAAAGTTATGATCTCCATATGTCAACTTGGATATGGAAAGGGATGTCACTAATATCTTGTAAAGTAATCTCCTCTCCAACTATTCTAATTTAATTTTCTGTTGAATATTAAATCCTTCATTTTTGTTTTTTACTTAGTTGTTTTAACTTCCTTTTTTTTAACAATTTAAGTCAGATTCATAATAAATTTACATCATCTTTTAAGATAAATTTTTATATTTGGTAAAACATATTTGCTATGAATCTAAGATTCACAACAAATCTTGAGAACATATGAAGTTATACAATTAAGAATTATTATATAAATATAAATTATTTTAATATCATTTAACATATTTGATTAAATTCATAATGCATCATTTTTATTTGCATAATTGCTAAAAGTGTTTCACTGAGATATTAATTATTATTAACAGAGCATAATTGCAAATACAATAGAATTTCGCAGTATATTATGTCATTATTCTATAACATAATAGATAAAGTTCATTCAGGAATCTAGTGTTTGAGAATATTACTGAATTTATAATATATAAAGATAAATTTTATATTTGTATAATAAGAAATTCATTAAAACTCAATTAAAAGGAATAAAACTTATCAATTATTAAAAAGTTGTTTTTACGTTTTTACTTTTCTATTTTATCTTCATAACTATATAGCATAAATAACAGCTCTAACTTCTAATATACATTCAAAAACAAAACATTACATTTTTATTTACATTTAAGTTTTATGTTCTAAGATATAATCTTTAATATGATTATAAATATTTTTTCAATCTGTCTAAACCAATATGTAGTAAGTTATTATATTAGAATGCTTTTCTAGTAAATAAGTAATAATTAAATAAATATTACANGAATTATTATTTAATTTCTTAGAATAATAAATTAAAAGTAATCTAAACATTCTCAAAACTAGAAAACAAAATATCCATTAAAGAAATGATAAAATTTTATAATATATAATTAAAATGATTAAAAATTCAAAATATATATCTTCTCATCTTAAACAGTACTTGTTACTAAGATAAATAATTTAAATAATATTAATTTAAATTAAACAATAATTAGTTTAAAGTATTTAATGTAAAGTTAACTATTAAATTCACTTTTTATAACTGATTCCACTTACTTAACTTCATGTTAACAATAAAATGATGATATTTAAATGAACTGAAACATTTTATAACAGCCATATCCTTGAAATATTCATAAACAATACATTTATACTTATAAGCCTAATTACAGAACTACAGACAGTGTGCAAAAAAATTATTTAACAATATTGCATGTTGTATAAAACAGAATTTTAAAAGTTATGATCTCCATATGTCAACTTGGATATGGAAAGGGATGTCACTAATATCTTGTAAAGTAATCTCCTCTCCAACTATTCTAATTTAATTTTCTGTTGAATATTAAATCCTTCATTTTTGTTTTTTACTTAGTTGTTTTAACTTCCTTTTTTTTAACAATTTAAGTCAGATTCATAATAAATTTACATCATCTTTTAAGATAAATTTTTATGTTTGGTAAAACATATTTGCTATGAATCTAAGATTCACAACAAATCTTGAGAACATATGAAGTTATACAATTAAGAATTATTATATAAATATAAATTATTTTAATATCATTTAACATATTTGATTAAATTCATAATGCATCATTTTTATTTGCATAATTGCTAAAAGTGTTTCACTGAGATATTAATTATTATTAACAGAGCATAATTGCAAATACAATAGAATTTCGCAGTATATTATGTCATTATTCTATAACATAATAGATAAAGTTCATTCAGGAATCTAGTGTTTGAGAATATTACTGAATATTACTGTTTGAGAATATTACTGAAAGATAAATTTTATATTTGTATAATAAGAAATTCATTAAAACTCAATTAAAAGGAATAAAACTTATCAATTATTAATAAGTTGTTTTTACGTTTTTACTTTTCTATTTTATCTTCATAACTATATAGCATAAATAACAGCTCTAACTTCTAATATACATTCAAAAACAAAACATTACATTTTTATTTACATTTAAGTTTTATGTTCTAAGATATAATCTTTAATATGATTATAAATATTTTTTCAATCTGTCTAAACCAATATGTAGTAAGTTATTATATTAGAATACTTTTCTAGTAAATAAGTAATAATTAAATAAATATTACACAGTAGTAAAATTTCAATTTTACAAATAATAACAATGTTAAAAAATAAAAAAATAATGATAATTTCATATCCTTATTGTTCAGGTATCCTTCTTTATTATTTTATTTATATATTAAATATAATTCATTGTTTTTTGGAAGTAAGCACAAAGTTGCTATAGAAAACTTATCATATAGGAACACTGTCTATGTTAACCATCTATATGTATATGTATCCTTCTATACATAAAATATTTATAATAGATACATTATAAGGTTTAGGACAGGGGTGTCCAACCCGTGGCCCGCATGTGGCCCAAGGCAAGTTCCAATGCGACCCAATAAACGTGTAAAAAAACTGACAAACTTTTTAATTTAATTTTATTTATTTATTTCAATGGCATAAACTAAAAAAAAGAAGTTTCACAAAGCCATAACCTTTATATATATTTTATTTTTGAGTGGAAAGAAAATATTTTCAAATACTTGGATATGTGTGAATGAGGAAGGAATACTAAATAAAGCTAAAGTTGAGACTCAAAGAATTATAGACCC